ACTCTATTACTTCTTTTTATCAATTATATACTTCACAATACGATTAATTATTACCATTTTACTCTGATGATTCTACTCTTCACTCTTCTTCACATTTTTTCCCCTTCACTAATTCTCAAACTAGATCTGCTTCTAGAGCTGATATCATTACATCTATGAATGCGGATTTCTGCAGCATCTCGAATGGGGAGGTAGAAACTTGGTTAAATTCAATAGTAATAAAACACAGTATTTTCAATCATACTTTCAAATTATATGATCTCCTACCGATTACATTTCAGGACGCAATCATTCTGCCAAATTCTAAAATAGATACGCTGGGCCTCACCATTTCCTCGAATATGTCATGAAAGCCACACATCCACAACATTGCTAAGCTGCCTCCCGAAAAGATGGGAATGCTGTACAGATGCCGTAGCTACTTCCTCCTGAGCAGTTGCTTCAAGTATATAAGGATTCATTCGTAACTTGGATTACTGCTCTCATATCTGGGGTGGCTCTTCTTCTGTCCAACTGTTAGATAGGGTGGAATTAAAGGCATTTCGTCTTATTAACTCTCCTCCTTTAGTTGACAATCTTTCTTCCTTTCTCTTTGCCACAATGTTGCTTCACTTTTTTTACTGCCAGCAAGGCCGTGGGCTCGTAACACTCTTCCTGCCCGCGGTGCCCACCATTTCTCTATGGATGTCGGTCAAACTATAATAACCCGTAATAGTACACTCCGCAAAAAAAGTATCGGTGCGGGTGAGATCGACGAGTTCGAAATCACGTACACTGTGATATGTCGGGAAGGTTGGTAAGTGTATCCTCATAACCCCCTCCACTAGGTGACAATCAGTGTGTTTGTTTCCTCTTTTCGGATTGTTGCTTTGTGTCTACTGAATGATGGCCGAGGGTTCGGTCTCGGTGAACGTGGGTATAAAACAGAGGCAATATGAAGCAGTAGAGATCTACACATGCCAGACGACATAGAACCTCAGAGGGAACACTGGGAGCTATCATTGCCCTTCATAACGAAAGGGTTCGGCGTCACAGATATTAGCGCGGGTTGGTGTCCACAGGAACACCGCTGCACGATGGTTCGGCGATACCTCGAAACTGGTGCTACAAACGACAGGTCTGGGCGGCTGTCCACGCTGCACCACCCTCAGGACGACCAGGTTGAGTGGTTTTTTTGGTAGCATAAATTAATGTGGCAATATAAACAAGTATCACAAATAATTTTGTTAACAGGGAACTCCTCATATTTCATACTGTCTATTTATCACTTCCCGACCTTATTTATAACGGTTTGTTTCACTTGACCAGACCATAGTAGCTGCTCAGCAGGATTACAGGGCTGCCAAGACGGCTGGAACAACTCACCTTTCCCAATACCTATCGTCACTGGTCTCAAATTGTTCACACTACAGTATGCACCGATACTTTTGTTCTTGAGTGTACATCCTTCTTTCCTTACACAGCCAAACTGTGGAATGCTCTGCCTTCTTCTGTGTTTCCATACTCCATACAATCTGTCTCACTATAAAAAGCTGCTCTTTCCGGCATCTTCGTGGTGTAGATTAATATAATAATTTTTCTTTTCTATTTTAATCTTTTTAATCTTAATTCCACCCCCCCTAGGCCCGTTGTGGGTCGATGACATGTGCCAGGGTGGGCTATTCTCCATAAAAACTTAGGTATTATGCTTTAATTGTATTATATTCTAATTGAATTATTATAATTATTACAATGATTAAGATAATTCTTGCATTGTACCAATGTTATAACAATGTTACAAATTTCTGTAAGACCCCAAACGGATGGCAAAGTGAGGGTGGGAGTAATACACTAACCTGTCCTTTGATGTTATAGTTGTCAATAAAATATTGCAATTTCATTTTCAATTCCCGGAGCTGGTCTGGTCGGGTGAGTAATCAGTGTATTTGCGTGCACCGCCAGGAGAAGGCTTCTTCCCCTGTTGTTGTTTTAAGTGAATTTTAGTGCAAATGTTATCTATGGATTGTACATTATTATTGGCCTAGTTTATTGTTGATTTCACTTTGTTTTGGTTTTAAGGACTCTAGTCTACAAAAGGGCCGGGCAGAGAGGCGTCCTTAGGTTGGATGAGTGACTCGAAGTCTGCTTCACACTCCTGCTGTGCCCATCTATCGTGAATCCCACCGCTGCCACCAACTACCCCCATCAAGGCTCAGGAGACGTCATTGCTAGCTTTCCACCTCTCTAAGGCAGGTAGACTTCATCTCCATAATTTACTGTTGAGTGTTAGTCTGTACAGCTCATGATCAGTTCAGTAAGTCAGTGTTGTGGGGTATCGTTTGGGTATTCCGGTGTTACTGTTTACGTTGCTTATTTCAGCTCGGTTGGATTTTATCTTTTGTTTTGATTGTACTAATAAATTCATGAAGATTTTGAATTCATTTCAATTCTAGTAACTGACGACATTCTTTGCCCAAAAGAATCTAATATTCACGGTTACCATCAAACTTAAATCATTGTGGTAATAGACGACAAGCTAAAATGGTTCGTGTCTTACTAAACATTCAAGATGGAGTTTATTGACTTAATATTTATTAATAGTTACAGGGTGTCCCTAAGGCTTCACCCTTGTCCCAGTTTTTTTTTTTTATAAATTATAAATAAACTTTACCTATGGAAGACATATTTTTATCTCCAATGAAAATACAGTTCACAAACTAGTAAACAAAACCATAAATTCTTCATGGATTATTGCTGAGGATTACTACACTCAGATTATTCAGATTAAAAGAAAAAAAATATGAACCACTTTAAGTAATTTTCCAAACACAACAGGACAGATTGTAAACAAATCTTTGTTCATTTAAAAATGACAAGGGCTCCCAAAAATTTATTAAGGATTTTACATGAAGCTTCCAAAGGATTTATTAGGGTTAGGAAAGAGCTTCACAAGAGTTTCATAAAGGTTTATTAAGGAATTCAGAAGAGCTTCATAAAGCTTCAGTAAGGGCTTCACAAGGTAAATACAAGACCACATTAAAATCTCCCAGGATGCACTTAAGGATTTCCTAGGACTTGTCTACAGACTTCTCAGTGACCTACAGATGACTCAGGACCTCTGAGGAATCGCATAAGACCTATCAAGGACCACATAGGATCTCCAAAGGACCTCATAGAACCTCACAAGGACCTCATAGCTTAGCAGCCGGGGTCTCAAAGTCCTTCTTCAACTGTCTCCTGAGAATCTTCCTGTGGAGTTCCTTGGGATGGAGTCGACCACTTTGATGCCGCCTGCCAACTGCTTGTAGGGGCGACTCAGGCCTGGGAGTCATGGTGGGTTACTGTGGGAGTCATGGTGGGTTACTGTGAGGTCATGGTGGTCACTGGGGTCATAGTGTGGGAATTATGGTGGGTCACTGTGGGTGGGTCACTGTGGGGTCAGTAGTGGGAATTATGGTGGGTCACTGAGCAGGGTGGGTCACTGTGGGAGCAGGGTGGGTTACTGTAGGAGTCATGGTGATCACCGTGGGAGTTGTGGTGGGTCACTGTGTGGGTGTGGGTCAGGAGTTATGGTGGGTTACTGTATGAGCTATGGTGGGTCACAGTGGGAGCGGTAGGTTCACTGTGGGAGCTGGTGGTGGGTCACTGTGGGAGCAGTGGTGGTTACTGTAGGAGCCTGGGTGGTGGGTATCTGTAGGATCACAGGGTCAGTAGAGTGATGGTGGGTTACTGGGAGCCATGGTGGGGTCACTATGGAGCAGTGGTGGATCACTGTGGGAGTTATGGGTTACTATGGAGTTATGGTGGATCCTTGTGGGAGCTGGGTGGTGGTTACTGTGGAGCTGGTGGTGATCACTGTGGGAGTTAAGGTGGCCACTGTGGGAGTCATGGTGGTTCACCGTGGAGTCATGGTGCGTCACTGTGGGAGTCATGGTGGCTGGTCAGGGAGTCATGGTGGGTCACTGTGGGAGCAGGGTGGATCATCAGGGAGTTAAGGTGGGTCACTGTGGGAGCCAAGTGGTGGGTCACTTTGGGGAGTCATGGTGGGTCACTGTGGGAGTTAGGTTGGCTGTGGGAGCTATGTTGGGTCACCGGGGGAGCCAGTGGTGGGTCACTGGGGAGTCATAGTGGCCACTGTGGGAATTATGGTGGCTACTGTGGAGCTGGTGGTGGTCAACAGAGGTCACAGGGTCACTGTGGAGTCAAGTGGTGGTTCACCTGGGAGTCATGGTGGGTCACTGTGGGTTTGCGGGTCAACAGGGAGTTGGTGGTGGGTCACTGTGGGAGTTATGTTGGTTCACTGTGGAGTCATGGCGGGTCTCCTGGGAGTCATGGTGGGTCACCAGGAGTTGGCGTGGTGGGCCACTGTGGGAGCCATGGTGGGTTACCGGGAGTCATGGTGGTCAGGAGAGTCATGGTGGGTCAGGAGTTGGCGTGGTGGGCCGGGAGTTATCGTGGGTCACTGTAGGAGTTACGGTTGGTCACCATTAGAGTCATGGTGGGTCACTGTGGGAGTTATGGTGAATCACTGGGAGTTAGGTGGAGTCTGCGTGGGAGTTATGGTGAATCACTGTGGGAGTTATAGTGGTCACTGTGGGGATATGGTGGGAGGTTACTGTGTGAGTCATGGTGGTTACTTTAGGACTCGTGGTGGGTCACCGTTGGAGTTATGGTGGGTCACTGTGCGAGTCATGGTGGGTCACTGTGGGGTTATGTTGGAGTCACTGTGGGAGTCATGGTGGAGTCCCCGTGGGAGTTATGGTGGAGTTACTGTGGGAGTTATGGTGGGTCCCCGTGGGTGTTATGGTGGATCACTGTGGAAGTTATGTTGGGTCACTGTGGGAGTTATGGTGGGTTAAGGTGGGAGTTATGGTGGGTCACTGTGGGAGTCATAGTGCGTCACTGTGGGAGCTATGGTGGGTCACTGTGGGAGTTATGGTGGGTTACTGTGGGAGTTATGGTGGGTCACTGTGGGAGTTATGGTGGGTTACTGTGGGAGTTATGGTGGGTCACTGTGGGAGTTATGGTGGGTTACTGTGGGAGTTATGGTGGGTCACTATCATAGATTTAGACTACCGAGTGTAATATATGATACATGTAATAATATGTACTATATGTAATGTGTGTGGATGGTAACACATGTGGCATATAGAGGCACTAACATGTATATTATATGTAGATGATAAATGTGTAGTAATGAGGGTGATAACATGTGTATTATATGTAGGTGATAACGTTTGTAGTTTATGTAGTATAGAACACGTGTAAGGAGTATTGACCCACCAGCGACGAACTGCTGTAGGTGTGGCAGGTGTAGGACAGTGCCTGATGTAGGCACCACGTAGGCCCGTGGCGCCTCGCCCATCTTACGGTGAGGGACGCCCACCACCGCCGCCTCCTCCACACCCTCGTACTGCAACAACACTTTCTCCAGCTCAGCGGGGGACACCTGTACAACGAAAGAGAGTAAGCGACAGCCGGGTCTCCACTATCGCCTTGTTGTATTAGTCGTTAATGTGATCTTGAAACAATAATACGTGTTATTAGAACATTTTAAGACGTTGTTTTGATCCATTTGAAGCTGAACATTGCCTCGGTCACACTGAACATATCAGAACATCTTCATATCATCAGCTAAAAGGAACATACAGTTAGCTATTAATGTTTATTACAACTATGATGGGGTCTAACTCACTCCCTTGAGGGATACCACTTACACAGTAGCCCAGGTGGACGGATCTGAGCCATAAACAACAATGCTGTGTTTTCTCTGAAGCAAGAGAAATAAGATCCATTGTTGTGTTGACATGACAATACTAAACTTGTTGAGCTGACCAAGCTAGCACAGGTGTTGAAGTCTGTCGTATTTTTCATCAAGTGCATGAAAATTATGTCTGGTGTTCCTCTCGTGTCCTACATCCCCGTGTAAGTGTGTCACACATTCACTAGATGTAGTGACGATTTGTACTATGGGAGTAGGTGAGCCCCTCACTGGGCCTAGACTGTACTGTGTGTACTCTGGGTGAGTGGGCCTCCCTCTGTACCTAGACTGGATGTACTATGGGAGTGAGTGGGTCTTCCCCTGGACAAATAATGTGAGCTACAATCGTCCGACGGACTTGAGTCTTGGAGATGAACACTGGGACCATCATGGCTCAAACTTTGTATGCCAGTGTGAACAACAAAGCCGCAAATACATCTGTGTATCTGGTATTGTGTGGTAACTGTGCACCTGGTGTTGCTAGGTACGTGTTCGTGTGATATATTATCTTTCAACATCTACATAAATCGGTTCACTTGGTATTAACTACCATAAAAACTTACGTTAACAAGGCTATTTTAGGGTTAACTTAGATTAGGCTAGATTAGGTTAAATTAGTTAAGGTTAAGTGAGATGAGTTTACGAAGAGATTAGATTCGAAAAAATTTGGTGAGGTTATGTTATGTTAGGTAAGGGTTGGTTAATAGGTTAAATTTGTTACGTTATGTTTTTGTTAGATTGCTTGTCTAATAAAGGGAAAGAAAATCAGCAGTAAGTGTACAGTAGTCTGTTCTACGCTAACAGTTCAACTCTCACCTGGTATCCCTTGACTTTAATAAGGTCCTTAATCCTGCCGGTGAGGTAGACGAAGTTGTCTTGGTCATAGTAGCCAACGTCGCCTGTGTGGAGCCAGCCGTAGGGGTCGAGAGTTGAGGCTGTGGCTGTGGGATTGTTGGCGTAGCCCAGCATGATACTTGGCCCTCGCACACATACCTCCCCCTCCTGTCTCTCACCCACCATCCTTCCAGTCCTTACATCCACAAACTGAGTGAGGAGAGTGATCTTAACGTCACCTGTACTGAAATAAGTTTATTAAATACATTTAATTTGTGTAAATGTGTGGGTGACCGTGTGTGCGTGTGTGTGGGTATGACTGTTGGTACACACTGGGAAACAAATGCTCATTTATAGTGAAGTACAATGACATTGATCTTATAGTCTTATACTATTTGGAAAAATTGATAGCAATTATCATACATGTTATGGGAACAATAAGAGATATCAAGAAATAAAAAGTTGTATCTCATAATTTTAGTTGTTGTTGGTTAGTGTAATTAGTAAACTAGTTATGAGCCTCACTACCTTAGGTTAGGTGAGAATCTTACCTTAACCTGTATATAAGGCACCACTTTGCCCACAGAGTCAGGGTGGAGGGCAAGGATGTCTGGTGTACCGATGGTCACTGCTGAGAACGACTCTGTCATACCGTAGGAGTTAACTATTGATCGTCCAGTCTGAGTAACAACGCCAGCATTAGAGTCAAACAATTCAAATGATAACTCAGTATTAATCTAGAGATGTAAGATGTAATTTATGTTAGTAAAAGAAAAAATACTTACGGGACTCTCACTAGATTCCTAATGGCACTGAGGAACTGGTGATTACTAATGATTTTCCGAGTTTTAAACAATTATTATGAACTAAATGATAAATCTATAACAAGTGCAAGACGTATTTATAAAGAATTGTGTTGATATGATCACTGTGGTTACAACAGTCCTAAATGAGAATTGTTCTGACCATTAGGGAAGGTGTGACGGGACAAGGACTTAGCTGGCTCGTCCACTAGAACTTGTCCTATTGAGTCTTCCTCTGGGACTGTCAACGAATTAAGTTTTTGTTTCAATAGTGTCATGAACTTAGGAATCTTGAAGGGAAAGGATGCTATAAAATGTATGGAAGGGAACACACTGTCACTTTCATGTCTACAGAGCCTCAATACCAGCTCATATTGACTAACTTTAAAATAAAACTTTGTATGTTTTTATATTACTGTATCTTGCTGTTCACTGTAGCATTGTTAGTGTTTTTCATAAGAAATCTGGATGATTATCGACAATTAATGGTACAGTAACACCAACATTAGTGTAGTGGACTTAGTGATGCCACATTTTACCGTGCCAGGTGTTAAACTCTCCCATATATGATGCAGTTGGTTATGATGCAAGAGTGACGTGGGAGAAGTTGTTCAGTGCATTAGAAGGTTCTCCATTGAGTAGAGCCAATTAAAAAAGTATCAAGGCCCCAGGGTTCGATGGAGTAGACTACGACCAATAGCCTCCGACACATTTACATACTGGCTGGGTTTATTACATTGGTTTTCACCCGATCTTTCATATTCTTTTGGGCACTTGGGGTCTCCATACTATTTGTATTGGCTTTACACACTAACTTATTCATTCCTTCTCCTGGCCTGTTGTTGTAACCTTTGTGCTGTGAGTTAAGCTCTTCTTCCTAAATAAACAGTGCTCCTGTACTGCTGAATACACATGGAGTCACCTTTCTCACGACGGAGGTGACGGAGTCTGCTGAGAGAAGAGAGGTTGTACTGCTGCTGGAGGGATGTGTTAGCCACCAAGTCAATGAGGTGAGGTACGAGGGGTTAGGCTGTCACCTGCACCACGGTGATAAATATACTTTAAGCTCAACAACAGCCTCACCACAAACACTTTTACTGATGAATTAAGTAAATTATTTAATATCATATGAATCCTTATATTATCTAAAGATGTGTTTCAAATGTAAAATTATAACCAAGAAATAAAAACAAGCACGTGGATGTTTCACTTTAATTAGATTATTACCAACTTCTCATTTTACGCCTTTCAGTTTTTCACACTCGCCTTAAAATCCTGGATGACCTCAAAATACCTCTTGGGTGAGAATTTTGAGAGGAAGATGGTTGTACCACCAGCCAAGAGGCGTCCCATAACTATACCGAAGCCATAGAGATGACACACAGGCAGCACCAACAAGAGACTCTTAAATATCTCCTTTCTCCCCTCACTGGCGCTTGGGTTAACAACACTTTGGTACCTGACAAAAAATTAAAGTAAAAATATCATATGCAATAACTCTCTCTCTCTCTCTCTCTCTCTCTCTCTCTCTCTCTCACTCTCTCTCTCTCTCATAAAGACACACAGCAAACCCCTGTTAGACATGCACAAACTCTATGCATGGTATAAGAGACAAGGTACAGAGATAGGAATGAATTAGGAAAAGCAGAGAATGAATAAGTCAATTAATGTATGATTCCCACCCTCGTACCAAGGCCGTGCCGCCACATTCAGTCGTTCAAAAATTTCTGTATCTGTATTTAATTCGCTTGGTTGTGTATATAATTAGTTAAGTGTCAAGGAAAAGAGCTTATAATTATATTGTCTATGGGCCATGTTTACTTCTGGGGAGATTTTCTTACGATATTATGTTTTCCTTGCGACCACGTGGTGCCCCAGCCAGTGCGCGGTCAGTATTGCATCATACTGGCTGGGTGTGGTCCTGGTTACGTGACCGGAAAAGGTGTAGCTGACCCAGTAGGGCCGGGTGGGTTTTAGATTAAGTTAGGTCACTTTAGGTTACGTTAGGTTTGGTATTAGTTAACAGTCTTACTGGCTCCTCAGGTGGTTGATGAGTAAGTTACGGTGAGTCACCATGACAGCCTTGGGCAGGCCCGTCGTGCCAGAGGAGGTGGGCAACAGAGCCACAGTCTTGGCCCAGTCCAGCCCTTCAGCCTACCGGGAACAAAACACATCACATTACTAAACAAAGATCAACTGAAGATTACATTTCCCAGATTATTTCACCTGAAGATGAAGATGAACTGAAGATAACAAGGGAAGCGAAGTCAAATCCCAAGGGATTTTTCCAAATGTATCAAACTAATACATTCAGATACCGGCGAGCTAACGGAGAATGACAGAGAAATGAGCAATAATCTGAACGGATAATTTAAAAAAAAATTTCACCACCGAAAATTTAAACACGATGGCCGAGGCACCGACCATATACAGAGATAGTGAAGAAAATAGAATAAGTCAGATAGTAGTGACTAGTAACGATGTCAGTAAGAAAAATAGACAAACTAAAGTAGAATAAGTCACCAGGTCCCGATGACATATTTGCCAGATTATTAAAAGAATGTAAGGAAGAGCTTAGTATGATCTTAGCAAAGTTGTTTAACATGTCATTAAAAACGGGTGTAGTGCCAGAATCCTGGAGGATAGCGAATGTGATGCTCATTATGATGTGGTTCACCTCGACGTCAGCAAACCTTCGACAGAGTCCCCAACAATAGACTACTACGAGAAGTGGAGGCTCATGGAATTGGAGGAGATATTCTAAAATGGATAAGGGCGTGGTTACAGGACAGGAAACAGTGAAGAAGTATAAACGGCACAACAAACGACTGGGGTGACGTCACTAGTTTGATTGAAACATTGATTGAAATATTTCATTTAGCCAGAAAAATACAGATACAGAGTGGATAATAATAACAATATTAACATGGCTGAGCCAGTTGAGAACCTGAGCTCTCTTTGAGGCACCTGATAAATACTATACATTTATCTCAAGGAAGTATTATGTAACATCTAGTATCATCTGGAATAGTACAATAGCATGGTGGTAATAAGAACATCTCATTATGTTACCACGGTTATCACTTCAATATTCATTTATTTTATTATTTATTTATTTATTTATTTATTCATACACACACACACACACACATACATATATATACATATATATATATATATATATATATATATATATATATATATATATATATATATATATATATATATATATATATATATATATATATATATATATATATATATATATATATACACACATACACATACACATATAAATTAGAGTGGAATTTAAAAACATACGTATAATGGGGGAGCAGTACAACCTGGATTGTACATTAATAAGGTTGAACAAGAGGACAGAGCTTTCAGGATTATGTCTAGTTGACAATTATGTTTATTGCAATGGTAATTACTTATTTATTTACATGATAATTTCCGATAAAACGGATTTGGTGGTACAATAAATATCGTAAGTGTTACAAGAAGTATTAATACTTCGACAATAGATATTTTTTTAGAGATGATTTAAAAGAAGGGAGCGTAGTCTTTGCTCGGATGGGTGGGGGTAAGTTGTTCCACACCTTCACACCATGATATTTTATAGAGGTCTGGGACTGAGAGGAGCGCATGGGGGGTGGTCTTAGTAGCTCTGGGTGCCTTATGTTGTATCTCTGATTATTCCGGAACTGGAAGTAATTATTGTCAAGCAAGTGATTGATAGATTTGTAAACAAAGAGGGCACAGCAGTAAGTGTTAATATCCTCGAATGGTAAATACTTCAAAAAAGCAAATTTTTCGTTAGTGTGATCTGTTTATTCAAGTAGGTCATTGTCCGTACAACTCTCTTTTGTGCAGTAACCAGATATGTGTTTTTGAAGAGCCAGAGGCCTCCCATAGTGTGCAACAGTGTATCAGGTGTTGGTAAACAAGATCATGATAGATTTCTTTCATTGCTGTGAGAGTGAGTGACTGTCGAGTGTGATACATGATACCTCACTGTTTATTGATTTTACTGTGAATCGCTTGTAAGTGGATTCTCCAGTTAAGTTTCTCATCAACAATAACTCCGAGGAATTTAGTATTTTGTTCGCGTTTATTACCAAGGTATAGGGGGTTCAAGTCAGGAGGTAACTTTTTTCTTCTGTGAAAGATCGTATAGTGGGTTTTCTCAAGGTTTAAGGTGAGTTTATTACGTATTACCCAGGTCCCGACTTTAGTTAATTCAGTGTTCATAGTTCTCATCAAGGAATGGAGGTCTGAGTTGCTAGTCACTACTATCTCACTTAATTTGTTTTCCTCACTATCTCTGAATAGAGTCGGTGCCTCGGGTATCATGTTTAACTTTTCGTTGGTGAAAACTGTTGAAAAATATTTATTCAGATTATTGCTCATTTCTTCGTCTTTATCAGTTAGCTCGCAGGTGTCTGACCGTATTGGTCCAATCTTTTCTCGTGTTTTAGTTTGATACATTTGGTAAAATCCTTTGGGGTTTGTCTTCGCCTCCCTTGCTATCTTTACCTCATTATTCCTCTTAGCTTTCGTTATCTCGGTCTTGACCCTACTCACCAATACCTTATAATAATCCCTGAGGTAAATTTCGCCACGATTCATCCTTCTACCTATAGCCTTCCTTTGGCCAATAATGTTCTTTAAATAATTATTTATCCATTTAGGGTCATTGTTGTCTGATCTGAGTATTTTGTATGGTATGTTCTGCCTTTGTGCATTTAAAGTGTCGTGGAACTCGGCAATCTCAGATCTCGTTATCAGGTAGGTTTCAACTGTCAGGTTCACCCTCAAGCGCGACACTCCTTCCCTCAACTGCCTCTTCATACTATTAAAGTTTGCCCTTCTGAAATCTGGGACTTTTGTGGAATTTTCCTTGCGGCTGCCCTGAAAATCTAACTGGAATCTAATTTCTTTGTAATAGGTGTTTGCAAGCTTGTTCCCTACCTCGACATTGCTAATGAGGTTTTCTCTGTTCGACAGAACTAAGTCAAGTATATTATTACCCTGGGTGGGTTCGGTTATATGTTGACTTAGGAAACATTCCTAGATCGTTTCAAGAAAATCCTCTGATTCTGAGTTACCCGTAAGGTCAGTCCAATCTATTTGGCCAAGGTTAAAGTCGCCTACTATACAGACTTTGTTGTGTATGGAAGCCCTGCGCATTTCATCCCAGATAAGTCGCTCATTAACTCTATCAAGATTGGGAGGTCTATATATTACTCCTGTGATTAATTTTCCCTACTGTCGATTAATTCTATCCAAATTGTTTCTGTATTCCGCTAAGTTTTTATTTCCTTATTTATTTCACACTTCACATTATCCCTGACATAGATTGCTACTCCACCTCCGTTCCTGGTCTGCCTGTCGGTATGGAACAATTTGTAACCCGCAATTTGGTATTCGACAGGTAACTCACGTGAGTCGAGGTTGATCCATGTTTCAGTGAATGCTATTATATTGATTTTTTCGGTACATACCAAGGCCCTGATATCATCCATTTTGTTTCTCATACTTCTACTGTTTGCGTAGTAGACATTTAAGTTAGTCGTGTTCCGAGTCCTCCGTTTACCGCGTTTAGGTTTAAACTCCCTGCCTAATTTAGTTTTGTCATCATTCCTAACACTATTTCCCTGTAATCTTTCACTTTGTGTAAATGAGGCAGAAAGTCCGATGAGCAACCTTGGACTTGGTCACAATATTAGTGATGCCATGAGGCAGAAGGGTCTACCATTAGACAACACATTATGCTTCCAATATTTTCGCAGGCGGTAGTACCTCGCTGCTTGATAGCTGCTTACTACCTACAACCTTAAAACGACATAGATATAAACGTTGACAGCAACATGAGTAAATTTGTTGACGACACTAAAATAGGGTGTGAAATTAAATCTGACGAGGACTCGGCAAAACTACAGGAAGATCTAAAAAAAAAATTCGCATGGTCTGGAAAATGGCAGCTGCAAC